GCTTCTTCATTGAGTACGCACTGTGGAAGTTAATGCTCTTGGACGATACATAGGCAAAAGGTACGCGCGGTTTCAAAAAAAAACCGGGCTGTGAGTAAGGGACAGGGCCGTTAGCCGTTACCAAGCGTTGTGGTCTGGATCCAACATTTGATACAGCTGAAGGGTTGACAGGTAGGAGGTACCCTTGTGTCAGTGCCTTATAACTCCGTTTAATCTGTTCTTTAACGTGAAAACTGAGCGTGAGAACTAGGGAGGCTTGTGTAGTATCTTGTGGAGATGTGGAAGAGGCATGGCTGGTGGAGCTGATGTAGGAAGGGTCTCGCTGTGGTTACTTCACTCGAACATAAATAAATATGAAACTTGAATTTCCTACTTTAGTTCACCTTCCAGATGGCAGTGTGGGATCAAGGAACAGCATTATAAGTAATAAATCTTACGTTTGCCTCCATGGTCAAAGCTAAGGCTTCTGTTTACCGGCTTCAAACCCCACACCCCCAGCCTTTCTTTTCTACTTTCCAACCTAAGATTTATTTTCCCGTGTGAGAGAAATGGAAACCAGTTTTTTTGTGCAGTACTTACTTGCAAGATAATGGCAGTACTTGAAACTGAGGAAACAATTTAAACTATTTCGTCTTGACAGTGCTGTAAGTCTTTGTGTTCTTTGTTTATGGCCATTGCTTTTTAAGTAAGATCAAGTTTATTTTATACTTTAGGTATATGAAGAAAAGGATTATAGAAGAGTTAGATTTGTTGGACGACAAAAGGAGGTAACTCATGCTACTTTTACTCACGGGAGAGGGGGTGGTTTGTGGGTTTTTTTTATACCCGATATTGATGTCCTCAACTTGATTGTCATTAAAAAAGAACATCCAACAAACCAACCAAACCCAAAAACCACAACTAAAATCAACCAAACAAAAAAAACCGTACCAAAACCAAACTGTTCTGGTTTTTGGGTTTCAGTGTTTTTTTCACTATGATGAAAATTCTTTTAAGACAGTATATAGTAGCTTCTGTATACCTCCCTACTTCTGACAAATTTGGAAAATTCAAGACTTGCTCTACACCTGTTAAGTGCTTACACTTAGGCTGTGGTATTTGTAGGCATTTGAGCATCTTAAACTTGGAACACTTTTTGTTTTAAGCATGTGTTTTAAGAAAATTTTAACCATGTTTTAATGCCATTTGTGTTCAGAAAAATCACATAATTAAATGCTCTGCTGAATTGTGCATCTATATATCTGTGTAAATGTGTGTGTTGAAGCTTAATTTGCTTCTGCATAGTTAAAATCTTGATCTTTACCCAAACTGAGTTTTTAATGAGGCCACTTCATTTCCAGAGCCTGGGAAGCATTTGCTGAAACAGTGGTGTTACAAATAAAACTAAAATTTAGAGTATTCTGAAATAACAGACCCTCAAAGGCAAAGTCTAGTAACACCAGCATCAGCCAAGTGTACTACTGTGAAGTTATCTTGTGGGCCTGTTGCTGCTGCTTATCAATAGAGTGGGTGTGTGAAATTGTTAGTCCTTTAGCACTGAGTTCTCTCTAATGATCGAGCAGCACAGTTCCATGAGGGATCTGCTGGCCTTTGGGAAAGAAACAGAGATTGTTTCAGCTAAACTGTATTCCTCTATGCCTAAGCATCTGATTAGTGCCTTAGTGTTAATGCTATAAATGTGTATGTATAGTAGAGGCATTAAATATAAGGTGTGGTAGATTTTTAATATAGTTGCGTGTAAGTATTACCTTCCTAAATTAACCTGAATTAATTATGCTGATTTCTGAGTTTTCGTATTGAGTTTACCTCATTGTATCACGGATACAATTTAACTCATGCTGTGTGGCAAAAATGGGGATTCTACATGAGAAATAGTTAAATGAAAATGTCACTTAAAATGCTGAAGTAGTTTACCTCTGGGAGGATAGTGGCAAAGTAGGTGTCTCCCAAATGCAATGCCTATTTCTGTGCTACTTCTGTAACTTTGTAGGAAATGCTCCTTAAGCCTAATTCTCCACAGGGCACTGGCCCCTCTGACGTGCCTTTGCCAGCAGCTGATTTCAGACTCTCTGTGGTGAGGAGCACCCAGGGTTTATCAGTTTGGCCTTGTTCCTCCTTCTCCAGCAAAAGACAAGCTTTAAGTCTGCTGAGCAAGGTTTAATGCTAGGTTTTAATTGTGAAATTGGAACAAAATTTGCATGTTAAATACTAAAATGATCCTCATCTGTGCTTATTATCTCTCTCTAGGAGCTTTGCCGATATCCCCTAGTGTGTTTCAGCTGCTAGTGTTAGGGTTTCACAGCTGTTTCTGTAGTCTGAATGCTGTCTTGTTTCCAAAGCTAAAGCTAGCCTGCGAAGTTGGTGACTGTACTGTCTCGGTCGCTTCTTCTCTTTGCCTTCAGTATGCTCTGGGTGGTTGAGTCTGGCTTGTGGTCGGCCCAGTTCAGCCACAGCAGCTTTCTTGTCTGGGGACGCAGCCTCTGGACGCAGGTGTCCTCAAAGAGGGCGTCTGTGCCTGTGCCTGGGTGCTGCATGTGGCCTCTCCAGGCCTGGGGGCACAGGTCAGAGTATGTGGCTATTGTCCCCTCAGTTCTGCCAGCCTAATTGTTAATGAAATCCATGTGTTTTAGCTAAAATCATTGTTCTCTGCACTGGATGTGCAGAACCAGGGGATTAGTGCTCTCTGGCAAGGGCCTAAACCAAGTAGCTGTGGGAAAACTACGCATGGCTGCTGTTAAACTGCATCTGCTGCAGTCTGACTAGGGTCATCCTGTCCTACAATCCCTAAGGTACCACAGGACCTAATTCGACACCGCCGTTCCTGCTTTGGCTCTACCCTTTCTGTTGGGCTGGTGCAGCAGCTGAAGCTGCGAGGAGAACTGACCTCAGAGCTGGTCTGGTTTAAATACAACCTCCTGCCTTCCCTCTGGATCTATGGACCTGGGTCAGTTCCAAGTTTGGCTTTATCTCGGCCTCCCAGACCATGTACTGGCACAGGCGACTAGGTGGAATGAAGCAGCAATGGGATTGTCAAACTGGCACTATGGCCAGGAAAGAAATTGCTCATTGAATTGTGCATTGGGCAAGGAGCATTTGGATATGCTGAGGGAAACGGCCCCCTCCTGCTACCTACCACTGTGCTTTAATTGAAGGGACACGATGTAACTTGAAACCACTTATTTTTTTCCTCAGTTTTTCTCACTCTCTTCTTTTCTGGCATGCTTTCCCTGCAAATTCCTAGACTCTCTTGTTTAGTAGGCTGAACCACAAACAAGTCATAGCTGTACAGTGGATGAGAGGTTCTTGCTTCCCCCCTCTCCCCACAAATACCTTTGTGGTTAAGAAATGTTGGGAATAGTGGAGTTCTGCTTCTGATCTTGAAGCAGAGGTGCATCATGGTGCTATCTCCCTCCTCCTTTAGCATGAAATGAAGGATGCACAATTTTGAGTGTTATTAAAAGCAGCAGTAAAAATCCTTGCAGGTTGGCAAAGATTACATATGACTTGCAGACACAGGCCCCAGGCAATGAGGTCCTTGATGTTGCCAATTTGCTTCAATACCGAAAGTTAATTTTTTGTTAACTTTACTTAGCTATCATCATCTTCAGGTAAAGAAAATCCGTTTTTTGGCAAAACTGACTTTTCCCCTGCTGTACCAAAAATGCAGATTTTGGGGAGACTTAATTGGAGGCTTGGTGAAAGATCCTAAGTTGTTGTGCGCTAGAACTATATAAAAATACCATTGTAGTTCTTAGGGATTCATTTAATGGACACTTAGCTATCTTTTTCCCAAGAATCTCATCTTCATTCAAACACCAACATGTTTATGAACCTTATACACAGAGCCTTCTTTGGGTATGCATATTATTTTATATACTTGTGTGTATAACATTGCCTTTGAAAAAGCTGGCCCCTCCTGGAGCATGTTTACCTGAGGGGTAGGGTTGGTTGTAGGGTTGGTTGTTGTTGTGGTTTAACCCCAGCCGGCAACTAAGCACCACACAGCTGCTCGCTCACTCCCCCACAGTGGGATGGGGGAGAGAACAGGAAGAGTAAAAGTGAGAAAACTCATGGGTTGAGATAGACAGTTTAATAGGTAAAGCAAAAGCCACGCACGCAAGCAAAGCAAACCAAGGAATTCATTCACTACTTCCCACGGGCAGGCAGGTGTTCAGCCATCTCCAGTAAAGCAGGGATCCATCACATGTAACGGTTACTTGGGAAGACAAACGCCATCACTCCAAACGTCCCCCCCCTTCCTTCTTCTTCCCCCAGCTTTATATGCTGAGCATGACGTCACACGGTATGGAATGTCCCTTTGGCCAGTTTGGGTCAGCTGTCCTGGCTGTGCCCCCTCCCAGCCTCCCGTGCACCTGCAGCCCTTCCAGTTGGTAGAGCATGGGAAGCTGAGAAATCCTTGGCTAGTGTAAGCACTACCTAGCAACAACTAAAACATCGGTGTGTTATCAAAATTATTCTCACCCTAAATCCAAAACACAGCACTGTACCCGCTACTAGGAAGGAAATTAACTCTATCCCTGCCGAAACCAGGATAGTTGTCTGCTCAGCGCTGGTGCAGACCGGGTTGGAAGAGGCTGGTGTGGATGAGGGAGGAAAGCGCTGCGGCTGGGTGCTGTAGGTCCTGCTGAGGTGCAAGCAGCTGTGTCACAGGCCTGTCCAGAGGTGGATACGTTTGCCAGGCTATGTAGACATGCTCTAGGAAAAAGCCCTGTTTGTCAGTGATGTGCATATTCAGGAAGTGTGTATAAGATGGATTTAGAGAGTGGCATAGTGACACTTAGAGGCTTTTCTTTTTTCTAATGCTGAACAATTTGCCTTTCTGATTGTTGTTATGCACACCACGTTTTCCTGAGATTCCTGTGCCGTGATAGAATAAGGTGCATGGTGAGAGGCTTTAAATTACCAGCAGTTGTTTTATCTCACTCCTGACCTTACTTGTTCCACCACTATTTTTGAGTTTATCAGCAGTGAGTCTTTTGCAGTTTTTATCATGTAGTCGCTAAAGCACAATACAGAGGCAGCGTCAGTTAAATATCTTCTGTTCTTGGCTGCTTCTTCCTGTTCACCTCTCTGCTGAATCTGCTTAGGTCACGTTGTAAACCTGAGCACTGATGTGGCCTGTGCGTCGGGGAAGGGGATTACTTTTGCAGAGTTTAACATGCTTAGTTCACTGATCTGGCTTATAGCACAGCCTAAGAGCTGGTGAAGGAGGTGGGAGGAAACATATGCAGGAACTTCTCAAGATGGCTATAGTGGAACTGCTTGGGGAGGTGGTGAATATCAATTGCTTTCTGTTTGAGTGGGGCAGGTATCTGAACGCTTCCTTTTTCTCTTACAGGTGAACAAGAATTTTGCAATTGATTTGATAGCAGAGCAGCCTGTGAGTGAAGTTGAAAGCAGAGTGATATCATGCGATGGTGGTGGTGGAGCTTTGGGACATCCTAAAGTATACATAAACTTGGTAATATCTTTTGATCTGTGTCTAGCACGTTTTGCCTGTCAATTCTGGTTTGTAAGATCATCTACTTTTTGGCATGTTAGTTTAACAAAGTAAAATGATTAACCACTGGAGCTGTTAATTTTATTTGGTGCCTAATATAAAATTAAGATTTCTACTCAGAAGAGCTATAGAGGGTTTCCATTTGAAGTTACCAGGCATTTCTTGTTCTTGATTTTGATTTGTTTGATGGGACAATAATTTTTTTTGAAAAAATAAATTAACTACGAAGTAACATGAGCAAGCAGTGCCTTGTGAGCAAAAAATAATATGCTTGCTGTGTTTTGAGAAACTTACTCTAATTATTTAAATGCCACTGTGTAGACTGAGGATACATTTGCAGTATTCTTAGGAATATGTAATTTATTTTGAATCCTGCATGTTCAAGAAAAAAAAAACCAACAAAACTCTTACAGTCTTTGGGAATCTTGCTAGCTCTGAAGATTGAAAGTTTCCATCGTGGTCAGAGAATCAGTGAAGAATGACAGTAGTGATAGTTTCCAGTGTATTCTTGTTCTAGAGAATAAGAATATTGAGGCTACTGTCATATGACCTCTGTGGAATCAACGATGACCTGTTGCTTAGGTACTGTTCTCAGTCAGACCCTAACTGCAGATGTCTTAATCTTTGCTTGCTTACTTAAACTTTGACGTTTGCTTAATACCCAAAAGAATGGTGGGGGAGAGCTGGTGTCCTTTAGTGTCAGTGTTGTTGTGACTCCTGACTATAATCACAAGCATTTCTATTTCGAACAAAGTAAGCACTTCATAATGATTCATATTACATTATTCAAAGTCAAATGCTTGGAGGTTCTAATTCATAAAACTTAAGAAGCTTGTGTTCTTCAGTCTTCAGCTAACTTCTGTAGCACGCTGGTGATCGGTTGCATTTATGTTGATTCGTCTGACCTGCGCCACACTGCTCTTGAGGAATGCTTTAGTTTTTGTGAATTTTGAGATCTTTTTGTGTTAACAATCAAATTACAAGACATCTATGGCTTAGTTCTTGAAACCTAACGTCTGCAAAGAGAGAATGGTATTAGACCAGCTTGTTTCCCCAACCCTAACAATTGAAATCCAGGCTTTCGGGGGTGGAGGTTAGTCTGGATTTTTCACTTCTAATCCTGTATTAAGGAAGGGGAACCACGAGTTTACTTCATTTCATGGCTGCAAATAGTCGTGTTGCTAAATAACAGAAGATCCCTTAGCTTTTATCTAACTGTCATGTCTTTTGTCATGTTAAGGAGCTTGCAGTCAGTCACACTTCTAAATTTTTAAAAAATATGTGTCTTTTGGAAAGAAGAATAAAATTTTATGCAGTAGTAACTGCTACTTTTCTGTAAAACGTTTTCTTTCAGAATTTCTCCCGGAATCCTACTGAAATTTCCTCCTTCCTGCAACTAACTCTGTCAGCTTACATTACTGGCCAAAATTTCTGTCCAGATATAACTTGAAAATGCCACATCCTATTCTGTATTAAAATAGTTATGAAATGATCTTTTCGGAACATTGGAACAGATATGACTGAACTGACTTAAGATGTCCAGTTCGGTAAGAGGATTCTTTATTGCTGAAGAGATGGTATCACTTGGCTTGACTTTAAAATTATATTGTTGAGATTAGGCCTGGTAGTTAAAAGGCTGGCGGAAGGGAAGCTGCATAAGATACAGAAATCAAGCATGAACCTCATACCATTGTTCTTACTTCCAGTGTATGAAATAAGATTAAACTCAGTACTTCAGCTGTATTGATCCATTTTAAGATGGCACATATAAATAAGAGAAAATCTGTAATTTCTAAAAGTTTTATAAAGTGAAACTAGCAGCTGTTATATTTTTATATTTTTTTGTAGGACAAAGATACAAAGACCGGAACATGTGGCTACTGTGGACTTCAATTTAAACAGAAGCATCACTGAAAGATTATCCCTGCATGCTTGCAGATTTCTGTTCATATGTTAATGTTTAACTATAAATAAACAATATATTTAGAAACCCAAGATTAGCATTTGTGTTTATCTTAACTATGGAAAGTCCAATCTGTACCTTTTTAAAACCCAGCTTGTCAAGTATTTGAGAGCTGAATGGTGTTATAGTATCTGCTTTGTACTTAATTTGGTTTTCATGGAAAAAATGTCCTGCCTTGTTTGGCAGGCTTCTCGCAGGCTTGGAAGTGGCGTTTGGCTGCAGCATGGGTTTGGTTTGTATTGGGTAGATTTGTATTCTTTTCAACACTGAATTGGATGTAAATGTTTACTGGGGGATTAATTATCCTAGGTGTTTGTCTTTTGGCATTGTTTGACAGTCTTAATTTGTTCATGGCCTAGTATCTATAGCTAGGTTCACAAATGGAAGCACAAAGATATTATGATACTCAGCATTACAACACTTACTCCTGGAAGCAAGATTGTCATCCCTGAATTAAGTAGCTACACCTGCTACTTGTTTAAAAGAAACAGCCAGTGCCTTAGAATGGTAATCAATGTGAGCTGGAGAACTACCCAAGCTGGCATATGTGACAGGTGAGGACATAAGCATTTGTCCTCCAGTTGAGAGGATCAGAGTGTAAATATCTGATTCTGCTTGGGATTCACACCCTTGAAACCTCTTTAGGAACTGGGTCTTGTCAGACTCAAAGTAGGGATTGCTCCATTACAGGTAGCAGCTTCTGCTCCTTTAATACAGATAGGTGGATGCTCTCATTGTCAGACTATGTGTAACACCACCTAGGCTGTGTGAGGCTGGCCGTAGGACATCATCTACCTTCTTGCTTAATTTCACTTATGCAGCATTCCATCATATAAGCATGACTCTCAAACAGGACGTGTGTCTGGAGAAGGAGGGTCCGAGCTTTCATCTTTGCTCCAGAGAGCATTTTAATCTGTTGTCGGTAAGTGACTTTTTTTTAAAATGCTGGTGATGGAACATGGTCCCAGGTAGTAATTGCTGCTTGGCCAAAGTTTAATGGGGCGTGATTCTAAACCTGCTGTTTATATCACTTTAGTTAAATTGATGTGGTGGTATCAAGTTGAACCAAATTATGTGGGCCTACAGCTGCTTAACTTGCTTGTGTCAATTTATAGATGAAGTTGAACCAACACAGTCAGACTTAAAGCAAGGTCGGAACTATTCTGTCTGTAGAAGCTGTGTGTTTGGAGGCTATGCTGCAATCACTCACATGCATGTACACCCCTCCTCTTTTTTTTTTTTCTCCATTCATTCTACCTGTAAGAGCTCAGCCTCCCTTCCTGTCTCTTCCCCTTCTTCCTCCTTCCCTCTCTTTTTCTCCTTTCCATTGCTGCTGGTTTCAGTGATCATCTGACTGGCCTTCAATTCATTCTTTGTAATGACCTAGATTTAGGAAGTAATATTAGTTATGCATTGCAAATTAATTGTAAATTCATTGTAGGTTACTGAGCACTGACTTTTCTATAAGTCCAGGGTCTGACTGAGGCTAGATGGCTGTTATGATGGTTGTAGTTTTGTAATGTTAGCGTGCAGTGGCCAAGTCCAAGAAGACTTAATGTATGTTGCGTTCTGAGTAGCACCTGAGCATGTACAAAGACGGCAAAGGATCCTTTCATAAAACCCAGTAACTTGCATTCAGCCTATCTGACCTTATGCAAATGATTTGTCAACTGAGCATAAATGTGACATTATACATGTCTTCTGGTAAGTCCATCTCATGCTCTAAATAGAAAATAATTACTTGAACTTGCAGTGTCTGTCTTTAAACATAAATCTGGTTGCTTTTTAGTCTGGCTCTCTACCAGTTTGTAGAGCGTCTTGGCTGGCACAGTTCTCTCATGGTGCAATCATCTCTGCAAAGAGACCTGAAACAAGTAATCGTATGTGGTCCTTTCCTTGGGCCTTTGATTTTCTTATGAATAATATATCTGCTTGGATCACTGCTGCTCATAATAAATTAACAATGTTTAAATTGGCACAGCATCTGCTGAGGACCCAGACAAATCCCATCCCACTGGTCTCAACTGTGGAATGCTGTTCTTGGATATTCTCCCTAAAGTACTTGTGATATGTGAAGCTGTTGGCACTAGTGAAACAAAGAAGGTCTCTACTTCGCTCTGGTGATCTTCATAGGAAAACTTCAGACTTTGCTCCTTATCATTGCCTGTGTGCTAAGTTTATATATCTAGTTGGGAATGGCTGTTTATATGAAGCCTTGCACTTTGAGACACACCATCCACATACCTGTGGAAAGGCCAACCTTGATCTGCAGGAAGAAGTAGTGAGGGAAAGCAGAAACTTTTACTGTGGTGGTCACAAGCAGATACATGTGAAAATGGATCTATGAGGATAGACTGGAACACATCAGTATCAAAGCGAGGATAGACTAAAACATGTAAGTACCAAATCAGCATTACAGTTTTCAGGCAACAAGTTCAGTCTAGAAAGCAATATGGAATAAAACTTTCAGGCTTAAATTCTGTCAGTCACTGTTTTGTTCTTCGTAGATAATTGATCCCAGGCTGGAACTATAGTCTCTTGCTCCAATTACCAGAGTACAAACCATAGCTTATACTCTGTCACTATGGAAATATGAAGTATTCTACATTGATGTGTAGCTTGTCTTAACAACTGTATCCTGCCTTTACCTACTAAAACCAAATAGGCTCTTTTCCCTTTCCTGCCACATATATTAAGCTTTTCTTGGGAAAATCACTATGTATTTAAACTTCCAAAACAAATAAGGACCATCCGTCCTTTTCCCCATATTACTTGCTAGCTCTCTGTTCTCTAATTAAAAAGTAACTAGAATGAATTTACAAGGCAAGTCCTGCTTGTTCACAGGAGCATAAAGCAGTACTATGACTATGGCATAATATGCAAGTGCACCTTTCTTAAAACTTCTTTCAGTCGATGGCATCTGATTGTGCTCTGGAAGTTGCTCTTCTAACAGGCTTCTCCAAATCAGCAAATAGTATCCTTATACTTCTTACTCTTTGACCTGCCAGTAATACTTGCACTTTTTATTTAATGCTATTGCAAGTATCAGATACAATACAGCATACTGTAATAGCAATAGAAATGTTTGGTTCTGTAATATCCACATTGTTGGCATTCTTTGGTGTGTTCCCTGCTATTGGTCTACGTTGTTTTGAGAGGCAATTCTATCTTTCTGTGGTGGTCTCCAAGTATGTCGTCTAAATTTAAAGCTAGGGATCCTTGAGGAGCACACCTGACAATTCAGTCTTGCCAATGGAATAGATTGATCAGGGAAAAATGACCCTGCATTCACCTTGTCATAAAGTTCATGGCGCAAATTATCATGCGTCTCCCTCTCCAGAGGTCCATCAGGACTTGTGTAACTAGGGAAGAATAGCAGTTTCAGTTCTCATTATCAGAGGCAATATAGTAAGAGCAAAAAAAGTAGAATTAAAAACATATGTATTGTTGCTGTAAATGTCACTTTGATGTGGATGATCATCCTTTCACATGCTTTTATTTTTGTCAAGCGTTGCCTAGTGTTAGTAGCCTGTGCAACAAGATACGTGTTGAAGACCTTGCATGCCCCGGTAGTGACAGCTTTCACTCCAGGCTTTTCAGATCCCATATCATTTTCTTGATATGGGGTTGCAGGTGGAACATGATGACTATCCATTTTTCCATGCACAGAGCAGCTTATGGAGCTCAAATGTCTTTGAGATATGGTGAATTTAACTTACAGTTACTGGAACTTATTTTTTCTGCACCTGAAAGTTACTGATTATTCCAGGTTTGCATTGACATCCAATCACTTGATAGTCATTTCACCATCCAAAATCCTCAGCATTCAGGTGTCAAAAGCTGAGTTGACAAAGCAAAAATTGCCATGTGGAAGAACAGATTATGGAAGTGCAACAGAGGAACCAGGAACGTAATCTGTGCAATATGGAAATGATGTGATGGAGCACTGGGAACACTGCCTTAAAGTGCCTCTCCCTTTTTTTTTTTTTTTTGAAAGGGGCTGTTAGTTTCCCTTAGTGTGATACAAATGCTGTGAGAAATGTGTAACTGCACTTATTTGTACCTCTGCTGCTGCTACAACACCCTGCTTTAGGAAGTCCTCCCCGTCAGCCTGCTGTGCACACATTTTTATTGACATACTGGCAACTGTATGCCAGGACAAATGCTATCAACAGCACTTTCCAGTAGAGATGTCGTTTTAGTGAGCGCTAGAATTCAGACAAAAAGTTCATATTCCTAAGCAGTGTTAGCAGTGTGAATCCAGTCGTGAAATGAAAATGTACTTAAACATTATGGAATTAGTGAAACTAGCTGCAGCTTTGTAGGTATTTTCTCACCTTTTTTTAATGTTCGGCTTTGGATGTATTTGCTCCTTTACATTTTTTAACTTTCTTCCTGTTTTCATTCTTGTCCCCTTCCATGTTTCTGTTGCTCCCTTCCCCCCAATCCCTTTATTATGGACTAGGTCTTTGACAAAGCAATGGTTATCTTATAATAAAGTTGTCCCTTTAGAACAAACTCTAATGCTCATCTCCTGCTTCAATAAGAGACTTCCGAACTCAAAAGCCTGTTCTTTCTGAAACTCTGACGCTTGGTCTGACACATAAATTAAAGTGATCTAAGTAGGCAGGCTTTTAGCTAGATTTTCTCTTAATGTTGTGTGGATCAAGAAATCTAAAGACTGCTTTCACTACAGTCATTAATGATTAAAATGAGATCTCTTTATTTTGGACTAATCACAAACATAGGAGAAAGATCTAAGAGACTTTATAGTATAGCAACTTGGTAAAATACTGCATAAACTCTACTAGTCTTCACTTATGATTTGTTTTAACAGCAGGTCATTTCTGGTTGTGTTAACTTTGTCTAAATATTTAAATCACTGACTTTCATTGGCATGAATAACTTTCTAAGATTTAAATTTGTTTTCTCTATGGGAGATACAAAGAAGAGGGGGAAATTAGCGTAGAAGCCTGCTGTAGCATATTTACTTGGGACAGAATGGTTTTCAATTTTTTTTTCCAGAAGATGT